ATCCCCAAAACACTGACCTGTCCATCTGCTTCACACGCCGCTTCTTCATCTTGCGCACGACAGCCACAATGTGGCTCATGATGCCTAGGTCCGCCTGGTGCATGATGTCAGGCATCACCACGAGGTAGGGATTGCCCCACGCGGTCCCTGGGACATCCCACTTCCAGAGCACGCACTGGAAATGGGGATGTGGTGGGGAATGGAGGAGAGATGTACGTGAGAGTGGATAGGTAATCTAAACCACAAGTCGGGTGAGTTCAATGGGGCAGAGCACATCTGGCAATTCATGACGGGGCGGGCGAGAGCATAGACTACTCATGGGCCGGGGAAACAGGTCACTCACCTCAACAGGGTAGGTAGAGTAGGCCTTGCACGGGTTGTCCTGGCTAGTTGTCGTCCCCGCCACCTCGTTAACGATCCATTGCTGCTGTTCAGGCGTGCGCGGCGTGTTCCGTGCCTTGTCAGCACTCAGATGCTCCTGTTGTAGCACGGGGCCGAGGGATGGGATAGAAAAGGTAAGGGTGGTAGCTATGTGGGTTCGCTCAGGCGAGCCACAAACGGGAATGTAATTGAATGCGTGCAGATGGCATGTGACCTCACCTTTGCAGCATAGCAGATGCTGCACGGCATCCGCGATCCATGCGAGAGTGTGCAACTGATTTTGCCGCTCTCGGGGTAGTCGCACACCCAGGCGTACAGCAGGGGCCGCACGGTTTGCCAATCTCCGAAAGGGTCCCTGAGACGGAACCCGCTGCAAGGAATGGAGTGAGTGGCAACACGCATTCAAGGTTGCGGCTTTTAGGGAGGAACGACGAGGGGCAAAGGGCCATGCTACATACAGAGAGGGTTTGCATACCATGCAGGTGGTGAGATGATGTCTTAGCAAGATGCAAACCGAGTACGGACCTGGCGATGCCATCAAGAAGCGGCTGCAGCACGGTGATGACGCAACGCTGGAAGAGCATCACCTTCTCCACGGCAGACATTGCAGATGGGGGGATTGGAAGGAGGGCAAGTAGTGTGTGACCGGCTTTCCCCCATCGCTTGGCCTGGGCGATGTTCGCCAGCGTCATCATGAGCGGCCACGCCTTTTTCCGGCCGTTGTTGCTCATGTGCGTCACATCCGAATATAAGATGATCCCCCCCACAACTTCGGACCAATCGAAGTGTTCCTGCAGTGCACGACAAAGCGGCAACGGACACACGGTTTAACACTCAAGATGCTCTTGAGAGATCAGTGCTGCGATGGATGCATGACTCAGGATTGGGTTTGGGGTGGCAACGTGGTCTTTCCTTACCTGAGCATCATTCCACCACGTTCCTGTTTCGGGCGTGGTATAGCGACGGCCGCCTGCGTCAGGGTCCTCATCTACACGCACCTTGAGCTTGAAGCCGGGCGCGTTGTTGGGATGTCCAAACATTTCAGCGAATGCCTGGTGTACGGTGGCGAAAGCAGGTGAGAGGAGAGGCATGGTTCGTGGCGGAGAAGGTGGGTGTACGGTTAATACAAGGATAACTAAGTACATGCAAACCCTGTGTGCCTCATCATCATTTCACGGCCTTGAATGCAAAGTCGGCTTACCTGGGCTGAGTTCTGGAAGAGCAAGCGCTGTGGTGGATGACCGTCAATCTCGAAGGTCGCCACCGACCATCCGCGATTGAGCCCTGCCAAGCGCTCCAACTCGAACCGCTCCAGATCCTTACAGTTCCGGAGCTCCGAGTTTACAAGAGGCGCAAGGCCGGGCTCTACGACTAGCTGAAGCAGGCCGTTGATGTCAACCTCGGCCATTCCCATTCCGCCATTCACGCGCCGGACGAAATGCAGTAGCTTCAACGCGAGCGGATTGAGGGGCATGGCATTGCTCTGTCCGGAGATGACGGTTGGCGGCGCGGCATGACTCCCTTCGGGCCGGCTCTCAGGATGGTCAGTCGTCTCAGCCGCAGGAGCTCCATGCCGTGGTTGATGTTCATCTTCAGGAGGCCCCTCGTTCACGTCGTTGGGAGTTTCGTCAACGTGAGCATCAGGAACGCGTGGAGGTCGGCTCACACTGACGGCGTTGGATGCGTTAGACGCTGTAGGTGAACCGGGAGCGGCTGGAGCGTCCGACAGAATGTCGTGGACGAATAGCAAAGCGTGAAGACCGGCGGTCGGTGCAGATCGCGTGGGCCTCGCCACGGCGGATAGTCCTTGGCAAGGGGTCCGCCGTGACTTATGACCGCCATAAACTTGGGCGTTGGGGAACCATCTGTTGCAGAACTCGCAAACGACGCCTGGTAAAGAGCCCATCAGTTACGGATCCGTTGTAGAGTCGAGACCTGGCCTATGAAGCTACTACCCGTGATGAAGCTTGTGAACGCATTAACTACCCCGTTCAAGAAGTCTGTGACAGCTACACGATCATCGCCAATGCGCGCACTGTGGTGGGCGGCTTGTATCACTGCACGACTGGCACTTGACGCACGCGCTAATGTATATGACTGGCTAACGTTGTCGAGCCGCGTGGTCGTTACCAGGCACGATACAGACCGCCCATAGCACGGGCCGTCTTCCCTACAAGGCGTGTCGCCCCCGTTTACAGCGACCACGACGTGGCCAGGGGAGATGCACTAGATCTTAAGTCTCATGGTCGTGTGTGTGATTCGCAAGCAAGGCGAGAAGGACGTGCCTATTGAGTCTAGAACAAGTGTTTATGAACTGTGCGTGAGAGTCGAGGAGGATGAGGAAGAGCGGGAAGAGATCCGTTTGGATCTCTGATTGTGTCGCGAATCGATATAGCCTCAAAATCGGAATTACGTAGGTGAGCTACAGAGGCGTCAAACAAACCTGGAAATGCATATGTACAGTTACAACTTAACAAGAAACTCGTATCATTCATAAATAGTAAACATTCATATCCTTGGGACTGTTCTTGAACAATCCTTACTCGATAACGATACGGGAACTACCCGGTAACTCCATGCCGTAACGTATGATTGGTGCTTGGAGCAAATACATATATCGTGCCGCACCGTGAAGAACGAATATCCAAGAATGGATGGCTGTCGATAACGCATCTACGCTTGTGCATTGGGCCTGTGCTTCATACCACTCCTTCTAAGCACCTTGTGTAATGTCTGTGCAAGAATGGATGACAATCCAACACCATACCACAACGGATTCACCAAGTCGCGCAACGCGGAGGCCTGAACGATGCATCGTTGCACCAGTCTAAACATGGCTGTCGATAACGCATCTACGCTTGTGCGTTGGGCCTGCGCTTCATACCACTCCTTCTAAGCACCTTGTGTAATGTCTGCGCAAGAATGGATGACAATCCAACACCATACCACAACGGATTCACCAAGTCGCGCAACGCGGAGGCCTGAACGATGCATCGTCGCACAGTCTAAACATGAATGTCGATAACGCATCTACGCTTGTGCGTTGGGCCTGTGCTTCATACCACTCCTTCTAAGCACCTTGTGTAATGTCTGTGCAAGAATGGATGACAATCCAACACCATACCACAACGGATTCACCAAGTCGCGCAACGCGGAGGCCTGAACGATGCATCGTCGCACAGTCTAAACATGGCTGTCGATAACGCATCTACGCTTGTGCGTTGGGCCTGCGCTTCATACCACTCCTTCTAAGCACCTTGTGTAATGTCTGCGCAAGAATGGATGACAATCCAACACCATACCACAACGGATTCACCAAGTCGCGCAACGCGGAGGCCTGAACGATGCATCGTCGCACAGTCTAAACATGACTGTCGATAACGCATCTACGCTTGTGCGTTGGGCCTGTGCTTCATACCACTCCTTCTAAGCACCTTGTGTAATGTCTGTGCAAGAATGGATGACAATCCAACACCATACCACAACGGATTCACGTTTGTAATTATTGATAATCGTGTTAGAATGACGTCCGCTGGCCCTAAACCATTGTGGCAAAGCCTAAAAGTGCGCAGTACATCTTTCCTAAGTAATAATTCAAGACGGTCGTTGTGTGTGTGACGTGAGAATCACCGATTAACTTACCCCAACCCCGTACAAAACCAGTTGCAACTTAGAGTTTGATGAAATGCGTTGTTACTTTGCAACCGAAAACACTGTACTTTGCAGGGATTTGACTAATTTCGCACTGTAGGTTTCACACCAGGTTTACCCTTTGTTGTGATTGATGTGTTGGCAACCGTCATTGGCCGACGCATCTCAAACGATTCCCCCCGCAACACAGTCATCAGCCAAGAGGTACTTCAGCCATTGGGCGGCTGAGATCGAGCGGAAGGTGGGTTTATGCTAGGGTGGCTACACGTACACCGTCCAATGTAGCCTGATAGGGTTACATTTCTCTCTCTAGTCTCGCAACTCACCCCAACCACCCTCGTGCCCCACCCACCTGCTTCCGTCACTCCCTGGGCCAACACTTTGACGCTGCTCGTTGCCTTGACACACGCCTCTCCAGATCGGCCTTAGCGCGAAGCATAGTTGCTACTATTTCAGACTTAGTTGAAGCGGCTGTTTTCGTAAACACATAACAGTGATAGACGGCCGATTATGCCTTCGTGGGATTCAGTAGCAAAACCCTTTCGAAACCGGCTCAACCCTTCCGCGCGATTTGCAACTTTGCTCTTCCTACGATTACCATGACACGTGCAACACGTAACCAAGCAATGGAGGAGGAACAGGCCGGCCGCCGCGCGACAAGGGGGACGTCTAAACAAATCGATAGGGAGAGTGGTGGCGGCGCTAAAAAAAACAATGCGTCCGTCGCTCGTGGCATTGGGCCGAAAAAAGCGGCGGCAAAAAAGGTCGCGCGCGGTCAACAGGAGGCCGGCAAGAAAGCGGCAGACAAGGGGCCTAAACCAACGCCACGCAAGCGTGTTTCTACAGTGAACAAAGCTGCGGATGGTGCCTCTGCTGGAACCGAGCCCGGTCCGAGTAAAGACGGCACCACTGGCGGCAACGAAGATCCGGGGCGAGGGAGCGCGAGTCTTGCACTCCCGTCGGCGGAGATGGAGGGTTCGGCGACAGGGGGAAATCACGGAGGCGATCCTCGCGCCGAGCATGCCGCAACCAAGGAGTCCGAGGAGGCGGCAACGCAACACCATCTGACGCTGCTCCAGCCGAGCGTGGTCGAAGTTTCTGCAGCCGTGCTGGATAAGGACAAGGTGGCACAGCACGAGTCGGTGGGGCTGGTCGGTGGCTCTCCTCCTTCTGGTGGACGGGGAAGGCGTAGGCAAAGGAAGAGCGATGGGGAGGAGGATGATGACACCGCCGTGCCCGGGGACCTCACCACGCGGGCGAAGAGGCGCCAGACGACAGGTAGTGCTGACAACGCCGGAGGCGCGGAAGTTGACACACCGCGAGGCGCCAAGGAAGCTAGTGGCAAGGCGGGCGGTCAAGCATTGCGCCAGAAGGGCCGCCCCGCAGCAAGAAAAGCATCTGGCGGAAGGAGAGGCAAGAAAGCAGCGACAGGAACGAGGCCGAAACGGGGCGATGAAGACCCCGGTGATACGGAGGAGGAGGAGGATGAGGAGGAGGATGCGGAGGGAGAGGAGGATGAAGAGGAAGCGGAGGAGCAAGACGCGGATGTTGGGGAGGATGCTAAAGATGAGAATGATGGCGGGGAGGACGAAGAGGAGGAGGAGGAGGAGGAGGAGGAGGAGGAGGAGGAGGAGGAGGAGGAGGAGGAGGAGGAGGAGGAGGAGGAGGAGGAGGGGGATGAGGAGGAGGAGCAGGGTGACGAGGAGGAGGAGGAGGAGGAGGAGGAGGAGGAGGAGGAGGAGGAGGAGGAGGAGGAGGAGGAGGCATCAGAGAAGGAGGAGGAGGAGGAGGAGGAGGAGGAGGAGGAGGAGGAGGAGGAGGAGGAGGAGGAGGAGGAGGAGGAGGAGGAGGAGGAGGATGTGGCGCCAGGGAAGAGACGGGGCGGGCGTGGCGGTCGGGTGAGTGGGACAGGGAAGGAGGGGGGCCGGACTCGCCCTTCCCGAAAACGCGGGGCAGGTGACGCTGCGCGCGGCGAAGCAGCGGGCAAACCGAAGGCGCGTAAGGTGAAGGTCGAAAGTGAAGGGGTTGGTAAAAAGCAAGGGAGCCAGGGTGCAAAAGGGGATGGAGGAGGAAAGGGTGGCCGCGCCAAAGGGGTTCGAGTGGGTACCGGCAAGAAGGAACCTGCCGGTAAACGTCGCAGCGTGCGCCGAAGCACCCCGCGGAAAGGTGGCAACGAGAAGGCGCAGGCTGCCCCAAAACCGAAGGGACAACAGAAAGGTGAGCATTGTGTCCAATACAACTGGCGTGACGTGTTAAACAATCTGCTAAACCGTCCCAAATAACACCCTTTATTCACATTGTTTCTCTCCTGCAGGGAAGGAGAAGGTTGACGAATCTGCCAAGCAAGGTAAACCCTCTTGTCTCAAACCAGTACAACCCTAAACCCGATCTAGATTCAAACCTTTCTGAATATGCATGCATGTCTGGCCCCGCCTTGAAACCGATCGACTCCAATTTTTATTTTCCCACTCCCTCTACATCTCAGCCCCTCGCGTTACAGGCATTGGGCCGCCCTTAAGCGTGCAACGAATGCATCTAACGAAGGCTGCCGGAATAGCGAGTGTTACACCGCTCTCGTCCGGCGCACCAAGGTTCTACACGCCATGGGCCGGCCCCAGCAAAGTCGCTGCGACGGCACCCGGCGCGCCAAGAGGAGAGGAATCCGAATCCCCTCCACCCGTCCCCGTCACGCACTCCTCACTCGCCTCACCCTCGTACCCATTTCGGCAACTCCACGCTTCTCCTGTCCGGGGCAGGGCGGTCTCCCCCATCGCCGGTCCTTCGCGCGGGCATCAGGCAGGCACTTATGCCAATCCCTTCTCTGAGCTCCCCTTTTCCCGCCAGCGTGATAGTGTGAGGGCACACGGGACTGCTGCAGAAGACGTTGATACCCTTGGCCAGAGGGGGGATTCTTCACACCCTTTTCCTCCGCTCATGGGTGCCCTAGGTGAAAGTGAGGAGCACGAGCAGTTTGTTACACGGGAGGAGTTCCAGGCGCTGCGGTCTGAGATGTACGCCATGTTTGCACAGCTTGGCCTGCGTCGTGGAGTACCTGCCAGCTATGCCGGCGGGTCGGCAGCCCTGCCTATGGCTGGTACCCCGCCGCCGATGAGCGCCGTGGACAAGGCACGAGTGCTAGTGTTGCAGGAGACAAACCCATTCCCGGTATGTGGCGGGCCAAATGGGGCGGGTTGGGGTTGACGTGGCAACAAGGTCGGGGTTGGGGCTGACGTGGCGGGTTCGAAGGGAACACGGGAGCGGCGCGTGACGAGGCGACGCGTATCAGGTGGGTGGGGGGTGACGTGGCATGGGGTGGGTGGGTGTGACGTGGCAAGTGGGGCGGGTTGTTGGTGAACGTGGCGGATGCAAGTGCGTGTGACATGGCAAAAGGTGAGGGTTGGGATATGACGTGGCGGTGTGAAAGGGTGCAAGGGAGTGCCGCATGACGGAGCGAGGCGTTTCAGGTGGGTGGGGGGTGACGTGGCTCTTGGTGGGGGGTGTGACGTGGCTCTTGGTGGGGGGTGTGACGTGGCAAGTAGGGCGGGTTGTTGGCAGATGCAAAAGGGTGTGGCGTGGCAGAATGGGAGGGTTGGGGCTGTCGTGGTGGTTTGGAATGGTACACAGGAGCCGCGCGTAACGAGGCGACGCGTGAGAGGTGGGTGGGGGGTGACGTGGCATGGGGTGGGAGGGTGTGACGTGGCACGTGGGGCTGGTTGTTGGTGGACGTGGCGGATGCAGGAGGGTGTGACGTGGCACGTGGGGCTGGTTGTTGGTGGACGTGGCGGATGCAGGAGGGTGTGACGTGGCGGAAGGTGAGGGTTGGGGAAGACGTGGCGGATGCAGGTGGGTGTGACGTGGGGGAAGGTGAGGGTTGGGGATGACGTGGCACCCTACAAGGGTACACGTGAGCGGCGCATGACAAAGCGAGGCGTTTCAGGTGGGTGGGGGGTGACGTCGCTCTTGGTGGGGGTGTGACGTGGCAAGTAGGGCGGGTTGTTGGCGGATGCAAAAGGGTGTGGCGTGGCGGCATGTGAGGGTTGGGCCTGACGTGGCGGTTTGGAATGGTACACAGGAGCGGCCACTGACGAGGCGACGCGTGTCAGGTGGGTGGGGGGGTGACGTGGCATGGGATGGGAGGGTGTGACGTGGCACGTGGGGCTGGTTGTTGGTAGACGTGGCGGATGCAGGAGGGTGTGACGTGGCACGTGGGGCTGGTTGGTGGACGTGGCGGATGCAGGAGGGTGTGACGTGGCGGAAGGTGAGGGTTGGGGATGACGTGGCGGATGCAGGTGGGTGTGACGTGGGGGAAGGTGAGGGTTGGGGATGACGTGGCACCCTACAAGGGTACACGTGAGCGGCGCATGAGAAAGCGAGGCGTTTCAGGTGGGTGGGGGGTGACGTCGCTCTTGGTGGGGGTGTGACGTGGCAAGTAGGGCGGGTTGTTGGCGGATGCAAAAGGGTGTGACGTGGCAGCATGTGAGGGTTGGGGCTGACGTGGCGGTTTGGAATGGTACACAGGAGCGGCCACTGACGAGGCGACGCGTGTCAGGTGGGTGGGGGGGTGACGTGGCATGGGATGGGAGGGTGTGACGTGGCACGTGGGGCTGGTTGTTGGTGGACGTGGCGGATGCAGGAGGGTGTGATGTGGCACGTGGGGCTGGTTGGTGGACGTGGCGGATGCAGGAGGGTCTGACGTGGCGGAAGGTGAGGGTTGGGGATGACGTGGCGGATGCAGGTGGGTGTGACGTGGCAGCATGTGAGGGTTGGGGATGACGTGGCGGTTAGAAAAGGTACACGTGACAACTGCGCATGACGAAGCGAGGCGTGTCAGGTGGGTGGGGGGTGACGTGGCTTGTGGTAGGGAGGTGTGACGTGGCAGAATGGGCCGGGTTGTTGGTGGACGTGTCGGATGGCGCAGGGTGTGACGTGGCAAGTTCACACAGTGTTGCTAGTCACAATCCCATGGTCACGCGGCCACCCACATAACTGCTGGTTTCTCTCTCCCATGTCGTGTTGTATACCTTACACCACTGCGCAGAACAAAGCCTACTTAGTGTGCTCTCAGCTCATGTTTCTGAACCCGCCGGAGAAAATACAGTACTACCCTGCACCGGAGGAAGTGTTCGAAGCGTTCTCTGTCCACTTGTCTGCAGAAGGGCTCGAGGCAATGAAGCTGCTGTGGTTGCACAATGACAAGTCAACCATGGGAGTCTTCAACCACCAGCTGTCCTCAACAAGGTCAACTATCAACTCCACCCTCAGGCCAGCAACATACACCGGCATGGGCCTTGTTGATTACAGCCATCTCGTGGATAGCCTGCCCACTGAGCTACACCCAACGACCTGGTTCGATGACGTTCAACTCCTAGCCGAGTACAGAGATGGTATGTGCAACTCGAAAACACAATATGCCCCACCATATGCCAGTTGGCAGCTACATATCACCGTGCGATGTGGCTCACCCTGACACTCATCCCCCCACTTGATTTCTCTACAAAACCCTTTCCAACCCATACCCTCCCTGCCAAAAAACAGAACAGTGGGCCCTCAACTGGCACTTTGACAAGGCCACCGGGACGCCCTTCAGCAACCCCTTGTTCGCTTATGCGTTCAAGATCTCCTTCAAGAGGGGCGGGGCGGTGTTCACCAAGTTCAAGAGCCGCATGGTGGCATGGGGCCTGTTTTCGGTAAGGATGTAGATATGTGTTTGTACCCCCATGCCTCATCCCCTTAACCCCTTGCCTGTACTTCAACCCTAATCCCTGGTCGATTAGGCCTTTGCAGTTACGTAGATAGTGACGACTGCATCACCGCTTTCACTTGCCTCATTTACCCGTAACCTACCCTCCTCATAAACCACCCACCCAACCCTACTACACCACATTGCAGATCGAATGGCCCCTTCTGCAGGATAAGCGTCGCAAGCGAATCAGTAGCCAGCCAGAGCAGAACAGGCCAGACTACCAGGAGTGGTGCGAAAAGGTCAAACAGATGATCCATTTTGCTGTCGTGGAGCGGAGGATCCCCACGATCCGGCTATGGGTGCGTTCGTCTTTCCGAACAAGTTCCTCATCGACGACGGCGACCTTGGAGATGTCGTCCTTGCCCACCGGGCGCTTTCAAGGCCCGCCAATGCGTAGGCTATTTGACCTGGTGCTAAGACTGATTGTTGCTAGCATGCTGAATAATGGTTCTTGTAAACCGCAATAATAAATGCAATTTTGAAATCCCCAAAATCCAAAATGAACAAAAACAGAATTTAGTATTGAATAAATTGGTCACGAATTTGCAACAAAACGGATTGCGTCGGAATGTCATCCGGAAAAGCTCGCGTGCCAAATTGGAACTTGAACCGAGCCAAGCCTTGTCGCGAGATGTGTCTCGGAGCTCCTATCAAATGACTCCAACCGTCGTTCCAAATTGGCTACGGATTTTTTTACGCGAAGACAATCGAAATCAAAATTCGACCAAACTTGGCATAGGGTTTTTGTGATGTGGTGGCTGAGCAGAGTGCAATATATTCTGCTTCAGCTGAGGAGAGATCAATTAGTTCCTGTTTGCTCGACTGCCACGAGATAGGCCCGATAGGCTCGAGTCGGTAGATGTAGTCGGTACGCGAACGCCTGTTGTCGGAGTCGCCAGCGTGGTCGGCATCCACATAGCCGATTAGCTATGGCGTCGTGGTTTCGGTTTTGTGGTAGGTCAGGCCGATTGTCGGGGTGCTGACGAGGTAGTGAAGTGCGCGTTCGAGCTCCGCCATGTGTTTTGCTTCAGGCTTCTTGAGGTAGGTAGCTAGTTGGCTCGCTGAGTATGATAGGTCCGGCCAGCAGGTGATGGCTGCAAAGAGCAGGTATCCTAGCTTTCGTTGATAATCGCGTATGCCGGCGGGTTTGAGCGGAGCTGTTGTTTCCTTGTGATTTCTGGCGGTGTAGCGGTATGGCGTAGAGATAGTGGCTGAGGTGAGTCCGAACCGCTTGGCGATGGTGTCGGCGTATTTCGCGGCGCTGAGGTAGATTGCGTTCTCTCCCTGTATGTTGAGCCCAAGAGACAGTGTCACGGTGGAGGAGACGGTGAGTGTGAGATCCCGCTGCAGCTCCCCTTCAAACCAGGTCCTGATGCTGTCGGTCGAGCCGATGTAGAGTAGATCGTTTCCGATGAGCAGGATGTAGTCGGTGCCTTTCGTGAGTCGGTACATGCCTTGGTCGTGCGGTAGTTGGCGGAATCCGATGCGGATTAGTCAGGTGTGTAGGTACTACTGCCATAGCATTGGAGCTTGCTTAATGTTGTACAGTGACTTCAGCAGCTGAAAGACACGATTAGGGTCTGCGTTGGAGCCGTGCGGTTGCTCGACGAAGATCTCAGCATCAACAGGAGTGTAGAGAAAGGCGTTGGCAACATCAATTTGTTGAAGCTTCTTCCGCTTCATGGCAGCTATCGCAAGGAGAATCCGCAGTGAGGTGTGTTGGCTGACCGGCGCGAATGTTTCGGTGAAGTCTCGCCCGTGCTCTTGGTCGAAGCCGCGTACGACCCAACGTGCTTTAAACTTGTCGATGGTCCCATCTGCCTTTGTTTTCACGCAAAAAACCCATTTCCTGATGCGTGCTACTCCGATGGGAACGACCTTCCAGGTGTTGCGTTCTTCCAGCACCTTTAATTCTTTGTCGATGGCTTTAAACTTGTTGCGTGCTACTTCGATGGGAACGGCCTTCCAGGTGTTGCGGTCTTCCAGCGCCTTTAATTCTTTGTCCATGGCTTCACGTCATTTTTCCCTGTGCTCCCCCCCCAGCGCCTGCTGAACTGTGGCACGCTCCTTAGGTGGCTCTGCTCCGTGGACAGCGGTGACGAGTCCCAGTATCTGGAGCCCACTCTGTGTGTAATGGGGGAGATTTGCGTCCTCGGGATAAGCTGCTTCGTCTCCCGCTTCTAGAACAGGTAAGAAATTGGGCCCTATGCTTTCGGAAATGTTGGTGTCGACCGGTTGGGGTGTAACGTAACCGTTGTCAGCGAAGTCGTAGAAGACTTCGGCGTTGATGCTTTCGCGAGGGTTTTCGTCGTCCATTGGGACGTCCACCGAGTAGTAGGGAAGAGGTCCGGCTTCTTCCGAGGCTCTGTCCACATTCTGCTCGTCCCAGTCAGCTTCATCTACTGCCGAAGCGAAGGCTCGGTCCCCACGAAATCCGCCTGTGACATCTCGTGAAGTT